TTTTTTTTTTTTTTTTTTTTTTTGTTTCATCATCATTTTCGTCTGTGATAAGCTGTTTACCGTTATGTCACGGAAATTTGTTATCACAAGCTTCATTTATAAAGTAAATAGGTTCTTCTCTATAGCTATCTACTATTCGACTAATATTATTCCAACTTATTTTATTCAGGTTGTGTAGTACGTAACTTAATGGCTTCGATCTTTCACAAGATGAAAGATAAGCTCTGAGGAAAGAATAGCTGGATGGAAATTGGTGGAAAATTTTACCGGCAACTTCTCGTGGCGTTTAGCGAACCGAAAGGCACACGAGAAATTGGAAATATCAGTGGATCTGAGAGGATAAAAGGGGATCGTAAGAAACGAGGGGTAGAATTTCGCGAATGATCGTGATAATAAAAGGAAGATATTCGTCAAAGGTTGTAATGTGATATTCTCGTCGTTAAGTGTTCTGAAAATATCGTTCGTATTTCTTTGATTCCGAAGCTTCTAAGAAAAATGTCAAACGATGTGTAAAATTTCATTTGAAAAATTCAATGACGAGCAAACTTCTCCGAAAGGGTACGCTTTTTTCCCATTTCCTTCGAAACTTCTAAATTACAGATTATACATGGTGTCGTAAAAATATCGTATATTGTAAAACTTAGTTCGACAGATCCCACTCGATGCGCAAGTTTATCTCTAGCCGCGTGTTTCAAACGATTCGGTTGGACAATGTAGTGGACGTGTAGAATGTGCCACGTGTAAAATGTGCAACTGTCTGGATGCATTCATACGGAAAAAAAAGTCGATTCGCTGTATGCACTGGGTCAACAGGAGGCCACCGACCCACGAAATATTATGCAATACATTTCCAATGGACACGACGAGGGTCTCTGACTTGCACGTACTTGTGTCTATATTCATTGAAAATGCGTCGCATAAAACGTTCTTCCCGTTATTGATCTGTATATTCCACCTATAGAGACTGATGCGTTCAACTTTTCTTCCTTCTGTTCTTTCTTCTTTTTCCATCTCTCTTTGTTTCTATTGTCCTGCTTTGAATAATACCCACATTAATTAACCATGGAGAGGATTTGCTAATTTATCGAAGGATATAAAGGATATTTATTGCTTTCTCTGTTTCTCGTAGAATAGAAGAAATAGAAGACAGAAAGTTTCAATAATAAATCACTTTGTCACCTAGTTTTGAAAGTCACCAGAGTTACACTGTGTGTTGAAATAATACTATAGATGATCGTGGCGAGAAATTGAAGCGAATATACCTGGTGAAACGAGAGCGAGAGATCCGAGTCGAGTATTAGATAAGGTATTTTACATTCGAGGAATATTTCAAGTATCCAGAGATTTGTACGCATGACGTTCTAGTTCTAGGAAATACCGTACCTCTCTCAGTAATTGTGTATAAATTTCGTAAATACCGTGAAACGTCAGATATATCATAAGTCGACGTTCAGTCTACGTATTAACAAGGAAATTTAGTAATAACACCATCGACCGTTATCCACGCGATATCCAAGCTATCAAATTCGTTGGTTGCTTAACAGAGCCAATTGCAAATGTATTATAGATATTAAGAGAGAAAATTTACGTACTACATATATTGCTTAATCTCTTGAGCAATTGATACTTACACAAGTGTACGTTTCATTTTTATTCGATTCAGCCACGATTGTGAAAGATGCAAAGATAAAATACCGACTATTTCAACGTACGTTAACTTTTTCACGTATTTTCAGATGTAATATTCGTGCAGCTATATTAAATATATATGGTGAAAAAATAGAAAGTAACTTTATTCTTATCTTATACCAAAAACGTGCGAACGTCGGAAACACCACAGAGATATGCAAACGATAAATCGAGTTCGTAACTCAACAGGTTTCCTTTCTTCTTCTTTTTCTTTTTTGTGCAAAAATAAAACACTCTTCTCATCAGTCGCCGTGACAAAGAATAAGTCGAATCTCGATTATGGTCTCGATATTAAATCCGGAAAACAATGAGTTCGCTATGAGAGAACCGGTATAGAGAAGCTGAACACCAGCAACGGTTTATTGCGGTCATAATTCCCGTTTAATGCTATATTGTCCGCTTCTGTCTTGCCGATGCACTTGGCGATCCTCAAAGAAACCACGTTCAACTTCGCAAGGGCTCGTGCTCCACTTTTTGATCGCAAAGAGGATTCTTATTTCCTCCTTTCCACTCGAAAATCGTGACCATTCGATGAGAGAAAGGTTTGTTTCGAGGGAGCATCGAACAATCTTTGCTCTCGAGGAAATTCCATTTGATCGAAGATTCTGCTATTTGAAGTATCTCGTTCACGCGATTAAATTATTTCTTAACAAAGCTCTTGGTTTCCGGTTTTACAACTTGTCAATTAACGACAGCCTTTCCAGTCGACAGAAAGATTTCGCATTTGTTGATGCAAACAGTGCTGTTTAAATATTAAACATACAGATACTTCAAATTTACAACAGCATGGTAACTTCGTACAAAACATTACGCGTAAGCGTTGCTCCTTCGTATTTTTCGTTATTACCAATTCGCCATCGATCTGTATATTTCGATAAAATTCTATATATTGTCGCAAGAGATTCGCCAAAGTGTTCAGATACTTAGGCGCGATAACGTTTATAGACGCCGTGTTGATGTATTGTGTTGGCAACTAAGCGATTGCGGATTTTGTCATTATCACCTAATGTCAAACTCCGCAATCACTTAGTTGCCAGCCCGATAGAAACACACAACTGGTGGAAAACATACGATCAACGATGTATTCTATTTCTAATTCCTGCGTTGTAGCAGATATCGAAAATATATTTTTAAAACGCCGTTCCAAATCTAAAGATACACGTGTCAAAAATAATATGAAAGTGAGCTTACGATGGCAGGATAGAGGGTGGCGATAGAAAGGGGGCGAGGAAAAATGGGCGAGGGAAAAAAAGATGAGAAGTGGTGCGTTGATGAAGTCAGTAATCAGACGTCGACGAAGTCGATGAAGATGATACGTTCCGGGCGGCGATCGTTCCAATTCTCTTCTTGCTTCGTGGATCACAGAGCTTGGCACGAACGCCAAACCACAACAGCAAAACGAAAATCGCGAAATTTTTGTTTCTTTCCTCTCGTGAAAAACAAACGAATCGTCGATTCGAACCGCGCGATAATTACGAAAGAAGCGATAGCGTTCGGTTGAGAATTAATATTCCGTTTCGTATCAATCTCGCTGTACTGTTTACTTGAACCTTACGAGGCGCTGTTATTACAAATTTTGATTTTTTTCTCTCGATTTAGAATTATTCAGATTTTACTTGAAATTTGTGTATTCACGTAAAACGTATTACTTCGTGAGATTTCGAATTATTTAGAATCGTTAGAAATTTTTACATTCAACAGTCGAAAACGTATTGCTTTCTGAAATTTAGAATTATTTCGAATTGCTTGAAATTGTTACACTCAACCGCCGAAAACGTATTATTTCGTGAAATTTAGGATCGTATAAAATTGCTCGAAGCTTTTATACTCGATCGTGGAAAACGTATTTCCTTGTGGAATATAGGATCGTTTCAAATTGCTTGAAGTTTTCATATTCGTCGTGGAAAATGAATTACTTTATGAAATTTAGAATTATTTACAATCGCTTGAAATTTCTGTGTTCAACCGTTGCGAGCCGCGATGCTTTTTGAAATGTACAATTGTACGAAACTGCTTGGAATTTTTATATTCGATCGTCGTATCGATTTTGAAAATTTAGAATTATTTAGATTGCTCGAAATCGTTGTATTCAACCGTCGAAAACGTATTGCCCTGTGAAATTTAATATTGAAATTTCTTCAGATTTGTATCTTCTATCGTGGAAAACGTATTGCCTTGTGAAATTGAAAATTGTTTGAAATCGCTTGAGATTTGTATATTCTGTCGTCGAGAACGTGCTACTTCGTGAAATTTAGAATTATTTCAAATTGCCCGAAACTATTAGTGACAGGTTTGAATAAAATACAAAATTTCCTAAAAAAAGAAAAAAACAATGAGATATTTTGTACGGTACTTTATCTGTGAAATAGTCCGAGCGATTAATTCACGCAAATGCTGTCATGCAAAAGGTCAAAGTAAAATAACGCTTTTAAATATAAAACGCTCGTACAGTATCGTAATAGAGTTTGTTAGACGACCAGAAATTTCCACACTCACGTTTTTATCATCCAATTTGATTCACAGTCGCAACAGATTTACGGTTTCGCGCTTTACTTGAATTCCTCTTAATATACGTACAACTATGAACGTGTTTCTTCTTTTTATTTTATTGTTATTTATATATCCAAAAGGATAGAAAAATATTTCGATCCATTGGAAGAACGAACGCGTTTCGTTTTATCCGCCATATCCACATCGAGCTTCGTGGACCACGCCAGTGCGCTAATAATCTCGAGTATGATTCACACTTTGGCAAACTGAGCGAAAGAACGTCCCGACAGACGTTCTGCAAAATTTGCACGGTAGATTATAGCCAATTATTATTGTATTTTTCGTCATCGAGTACATATACCTCGAATATGTCTGATTTCACGAATGTCAACTAATTACGTCGAACTTTCCATTTCTTCAGTCTTCTTGCGCAATACTTTATTGACTAATAATATTAGCGAATTGTGCAAGACGTTGCTCTAATTTATTTCGAGCGATTCGATGCATCGATTCGATGTTCCGGCCTCGATCAAAATGTCCTAATAAATATTAACGAGCAGTAATTTGTAAAATAGAACGTCAACGCTGTAGATAATTACAATGTTGAGCGTTTTCCTAGCCAATCAAAGGCACAACACGCTATGGCGTATCATAGCGTGACGAATATTCGTTGATCACGAAATGTATCGCAGTCTCGTCTTAATTCGTTAGAATTGTTGGGCAAGAGGCATCAGCGTAGTTGTTAGAAAAATGAAAATGTTTCGAAACTTACGGAAGATTAATTGGTGGTCAGGCGGGAAATTAAACGCTTACGAAATACGTGGTAGATACTTTCGTTTTCCATACAACGACGTATCGTGCCATTTCATTTTGCAAATCCTTTTTTACAGGTATCAGGGAAACGGTAAGATTATTTAGAACGATACCGAAGCGTCCTGTGTCGCGACCAAGTTTTCAGGACAGAAAGAAAAAAAAAAGAAAAAGAAAAAAAAAGCTCCGCTCCTCAGCGGCTTAAACCCAAAAACTGTATCATACAACGAAAAATGTAAAGCGCCGACACATAATACAGCATGGCTACCATTACAAAAATTCGCCGTTTATTATGAATAATGAACCTAAAACTGTATTCTTGGACTCAATAAACTTGAAATCTCAAAGTCATTATTTAGAACGATTAAAACGTTCAAATATCACGGATTTAAGGCAGTCGTTAACGAAGCTGCAAACGAGATATAAAATTGAAAGAACAAGCGAAGTTTGAATCGGAACAAGAGGAAAAGTAAAAGCAGCTCGGCAACTAATATATTCGCGAGTGCGGTGCAAACAAACGAGCACGAAATTGAATTTTATCAAGTGCAAATAATGCCCCGAGAAATCTGTCGTAATTTGCAATTCAACGCTCGGTATTTTCCCAAGTTTTTCGCCGTTTTTTGCCGGCCTCGTTGTTAGAATGTCCGCGCACGCGAGTCTACTTTGCCTTGTAAGTTATAAAATCACGCTCAGTTTCTAACAAACGCGAAACCTATGTCCCTTCGTTCGATCATATTTTCCCATCGTCAACGGATTTCGTAAGCCCGAGAAGAGAAAGTGGAATAATTCTTATCGATATACGTAATTCAACTATTTCAAACATCAAACAGCCTCTCCTCGTTCGCGCGAGCAAAAGCGTGATTCGAACGAAAATTACGAAATTAAGAATTACGAAATCGATACTGTTAATAATCATAGAAGTGTCGTAAAAAATCATTCTTCCAGACATGTAAAAACGTCGATAACCACGTCTGAGTAAATTACTCGATGCGATGAAAGATGCAATCGGTGGAAAACAAAATTCGCAAAACGTAAAACGTCACTGAACTTGGCACAGACCTGAACGAAAAGCTCGTAACGTAAAAAGAGGCTACGACGACGGAACTAATCGTCGAAATCACGAGCAACGTACAACGATGGCGCAACTTTCTCGTTCGAGGCTGCCCGGTTAAGGAGGATTTAATTAAACACGGGACGTCGTCGTGGGTCGGAGAAACGCAGACGCGGCAGGAAAGCGAAACATTAGAATTTCACGTAGCCGACGAGGCCGTGGCACCGATGGTCCGCATCTGTGCTTAGCCTGCGATGCATTCGTCTTGCATCGCAACGATTCGTTGACCCTCGGTTCTACCTAGCGGTTCTTCGTCTCGATCGAAATGCTTGCGAATGGCTTCCCGCTTCTTTTTTCCGCTTTCTCTTGATCCCTGTATCGTTTACTTCTTTGTTCTCAATAAACGAAAAATCTGTATTCGCTGTTTCGTATAAGAGAGGATGATTTGCATATCGTGTCGCTTGTTGCAGGAAAAAATGTACCGTAGCTTGGAAATACGCGAACGATTTGTTCTTAACAACCCTTTAAGTACGAGTACATTCTCGTAAATCCAAAGATTTTCCTTTCAAAGGGGAAAAAATGCCTAATGCAATTACCGGTACATGGCGTCGCGTGATCGACGACAACCGCGTTCGACGAACATGTTTACAGCGATAGGCGTGCTCAAAGAATTAACAATAACATTTACTCGTACAATAAATTCGAAACAAAGAAAAAGTTGTCTCTTTTCTCTGAACTTTAACGCGATTCTCTTGTTTATATCTGCTAGTCGTATCTGCTACAATTATCTAGCATTAATAATTGTTTCATTCCACGATAACATTTACCCGCTCCTCTATAATAAATTACAAGTTGTCTGGTCGTCGTGAGTAATCGTATATTGATATCCGATATTGATATCGACCATTCGTTTATCCTCGCGTAAACCAATGATTCTTCGTCTCGATCGAAGCGTTTCCGGATACGCGACCGCGACGGCGTCTCGCTTTTTCCACCTGCCTATTCGCCTCCACTCGGCATTTCACTGAAATCAATTTTCACCGCTCGCATAAATTTCCATTTCTAAGATACAGGAGAAACGCGCCAACCGTATACAGCTTACGTAATTTTGTTGCATTCTACAGCTTAATCTCACGAATGGACGTTTAATCGATTCGTGATAACGCTTCGCGGAGATTCCCTGCCAATACGAAGGTGTTCCGTGCGTTCGATGCGATAGGAAAATATTCCAAAAGAATAGAGAAATCGGATACGGAATATGTTAAAGCGAGAAAGTACATGCGCGACGCATAGATGAAATATACAAATATAGCGCTACTAGACGAATGCGAAAAATTTATTACAGTCGAATCTAATCGATTGGACGTAAATGCAGCGATTGGTGGAATGGCGTACGAATACTTTTCGCAGTCACCGCATATGGAAGAAAAATTGTAGTTATTTACGAACGTACAATCGTACATATACCTCTTAACACGTCGATTGCCACGCGAATTTTATATAGGATAATCTACTTTTATCATTTAACTTTATCACTTGGAATATGTCGCTTGTTTTTGATAATATTAGCAAAAATGTTTCAGCAACATATTAAATTTGAAGTTTTTCCATTGGTAAACGCGTAGAGGACGTGCGAATGTCATCAATCATATATATTTTAATACGTTCGTCGATTCACCTGGACATTCTCCGCAAAAAAAGGTATAAACTTGTGTATGTTGGAAAAGTATTCATTTATTTATGTGGAAGAGATATTCGTTTAATATTTTAAGTTCAATTTAACATATTTAAGGAAAGACAAGAAAAGACGCGATGCGGCATTCTTGTGTTCGTCGAGTTTTTATCTTTCGTATGTTAAATATGAGAAATTAAAGTTAATATATGTGCTGGACTGATAAGTTTTTCCATACGAATAAGTTGATACTTTTTCGGCATAGATAAATTAATACTTTTTTGTAGAGAAGATGGGTGAATTTATGTATTAAAAAATATATAATCCGATTTAAAAAAAAAAATCGGTGACCTTTCTACGCGATGTCTTTTACGTGACCATCTACGAAAAAAAACTAATTGTGTCAAATAATGTTCACCTTGAAACTATCCAACCTGTTGCCGAAACACTTTCTAGTATTATCGAAAACAAGGTGATAAAGTTAGGTGAGATAACCTGTATAACATACCTGTTTATATAACATTCCGTGGAAACCGCAATAGATCGAAATACGTTGTTATGTTTAATTATTGGAAAATATCGTATTACATTTGCACACTTTTCTCTCTCCATGTAATATAAATCGTTCACATTGTTGACGGTCCTTTAGTCCATGAAATTTATCTTACATTAAATTATTCTCAAAAATGTAATAGCGTGGATCGCCGATAGCGAATCCGATAACGAATAGGTGATCGTGGCAATCAACCTGTTAAACGAAACTGTTACTTCCCTGTCGAAGAAAGAAAAAAAAAAAAAAAAAAAAAAAAAA